GAGAGAGAGAGAGAGAGAGAGAGAGAGAGAGAGAGAGAGAGAGAGAGAGAGAGAGAGAGAGAGAGAGAGAGCAGAGAGTAGTGGAGTCACTGGTGTTGGGTGCCATAGCTGCAGTCTGACAGAGAGAGAACTTCACTGGAGCGCATTCAGAGAGTGATCAGAATGACCTGTGAGGCGATTGTAGGATATGAGAGAGAGAACTGAGACAGCACAGAGAGAGAGAGAGAGAGAGAGAGAGAGAGAGAGAGAGAGAGAGAGAGCTCAGAGTACAAAACAAGAGCGGAGAAACAAAGGCGAGCTAGAGATAGGGAGGAGTTGATTTTGTTCCTACGAAAGCTTTTCGTAAATGATATGGACAAGAGTAGCACGCCCTCTAAACAATCACAATGATCTAGACGTGGGGGAGGCAGGGGAGAAGGTGGCGGGAAGACAGAAGAAAGATGATGATAATGACCATGACAAGTCAGGGAGGAGGAGGAGCAGGAGGACAACGGGGACGACAGGAGCGGGGAGGAGGAGGAGGAGGAGGACAGTAACAAGCCTTTCAACTATCTCATACTTAAAGTCTTGAACAAATCTTCTTTGCATCTTTACACGTTGGCTTTTTCCATAATCTCGAAGAGATATGTGGCACCCGGCAATGATCACCAGAATCAGTCCGGACCAGGCATCTGATCACCAGAATCTGGACATCAGCATCGTGGCACACATGCAGTTAGTGTGGGTGCTGACGACCAGATTCTGGTGATCAGATGCCCGGTCCGGACTGAAAATTTCCAAAATTCAGGTTCCCGCCGTTTCCCAGACAACAAATAGGAAGAGAATAAGCACCCCCCCTCTCCTTCCCCCCCCGGGCCCCTGCCCAAGATCCACTTGCCGGGAATCAAGAACTTGCACATGCCAACCCCCTTGACAACCGGAGCGTTCCAAGAGAACCAAACGCCCGTCTGATCCTCCCAAAAGCAACCACCTCTCCTTCACGGCCTCCTGAAACCCCAACCGGTTAGTGGAGAGCTAAGCGACTTCACTCTCCTTGATTCCTGCTCTTCCCTGCTGCCAAAGCAGTATCCAACACCTCCCACCTCCCACTCCCCGTCTGATCGTCCTAAAAGCAGCCACCTCTCCTCCGCAGCCTCCTGAAACCCCGACCGGTTAGTGGAGAGCTGAGCACCTTCACTCTCCTTGATTCCTGCTCCTCCCTGCTGCCAAAGCAGAATCTGACACCTCTCACCTCCCAATCGCGCAGGCCTGCAGCATCGAGTAGCACTGGTTTTTCCTGGAAGTGGTAGGGGATCAATCATCAATCACCGTACGCTTCTTTTTCTTTTTTTTCCCTTCTTTACACATTGCTGGGCACAAAGATCAACAGGCAAAGAGTGAGACCGGATTCAATGCGAGCAAGGGCGCGTGCATAGGCACAAGAAGATGTCCAGGGTAGAAATATAGATAATGACACTCACCTTCAAGGCTTCAGCCACTAGTACATTTCCCGGCCATTTTTCTACGACGTGGCCGCATGCACGCCGCAGTCTGGTGGGATGAACGGGCATGTGCGGCCCGTTTTGCCTGGATGTACCTTTTGTGAAGCGGCAGGATGGTACACTCGCACGAGCCGCAGCAGCATGCACGCCGCGACTCTGGAAAAATGGCTTGGAAACGTACTGGTGGTTTAAAGCAGAGAGAAGAGAAGACACCATCACCTCCACACTCCCCCTTTTTCAATTATGGTCCTTGTAGCCCAGAAGCTCGTATACCCGTTCCCTGTCTTCCTTTCTCTCTCGTAACATAGAAGCTCAAACCACATCTAGATGTGTATAAGAGACAGGTTCCCTGTCTTCCTTTCTCTCTCGTAACATAGAAGCTCAAACACTGGTTCACTGGGGGGGGGGGGGGGGGGGGGGGGGGGGGGGGAAACATTCATTTCCGCAGTCCAAGCAGAGCCACCACACCTCCTCCCTCTCACAAGGCCACCAGCACATACCTCTCTGGATAATCTTTGATGATATCGAAAAGCTCACTGATCCGTAAGTCGCCAAGAATTTCATAAGTGTAGAATTCCAGCCTCAGGCGCCATCGGACAACTGCGACAGTTGCTGCTTCGTCTCCGCCGGGAGCAGTGATTGCAGGCGACGCAAGCGGCGACGGAAATGGATTGGGTCCGGGTGTCGTCACAGCAGAACCTGGAGATGCCAATTTGGAGTTCGCATAGGAGGGAAATAGAGAAGAGGAGGGCAGAAGAACACACAGGAAACGCAATGGCACTGCCTGCACGTTGAGCGCGATAGGTTGCACATGCGCAGCAGGCCATCATGACCAAGGATCAAGGATCCGCACCCACCCCCATCACACCCCCAAAACAATTGAAACGGACACGTCGGACAGTGAAAAAACAAGGAAAACAAACGCATGTACCTATACTGGAATAACGCACGTAAAGAACACGAATCTTGCCACAAAGCTGAGGACGTCGACACATTTTCCAAAGAACCGGTGCGCACTGGCAAAACAGAAATTTTTTCCTTGCTCAATAAGCTGTCACATTATAAAATTAAGTAAATAAATGAGCAAATGAGCAGAAAACCCACAATCTGAAGGATCGAACGTGAGGGTTCAGGATTTAAGATTTAGCGCTCAGGATTTAGGGTCTTCGGGGTTAGGGTTTTTGGTTCTAGGGTTTGGGACTTAAGGTCCAGGGTCTAGCGTATAGGGTTTAGAGTTTTGACGCTTAGGGCTTTCGGGTGTTGGGGGTTTAGGTCCCAGGGCCTAGGTTGTAGAGTCCAGGGTTTAGCGTTCGGGTTCTAGGGTTTTGGTTTAGGGTTTAGGTTCTAGGGTTTTGGTTTAGGGTTTAGGTTCCATGGTAGAGGTTCTAGGGTTAAGGGTTTAGGTTCCATGGTAGAGGTTCCATGGTAGAGGTTCTAGGGGGCTTTAGGGTGCCCGGGTTTAGGTTCTAGGGTTTACATTCTAGGATATAGGGTTTAGTTTCTAGGGTTCTGGTTCTACGGTATAGCTTTTAGGGTTTAGGTCCAGTCGATTCACATGTCTGCAATTCAAAACAGAGATCCTCAAAATAGCAGAAGTCTATGTAAAACCACGATCCTCCAGTTTGCAAGAACCGATTCACACACAATACGGCGAGGATTCTATAGAACAGGAGTGTGGATCTACGACCACCTCTGTGGACTCCGTCCATACGCACCCATGAGCCAAAAACGTCAGCCGAAATGTCAGTATACGACACATTTCCATACAGCTCATACTTGACGGGTACGCTACTCTTCTCTCTCTCTCTCTCTCTCTCTCTCTCTCTCTCTCTCTCTCTCTCTCTCTCTCT